CCCAGCCGCGAGTCCCTGCCCTCAGCGGTCGGGGATCCGGCCGCGGCATCTTGGGTACTCCTGGGCCGCAGCTGCAGGACGTCGGACGCAGTGACCGGGCCTCCCGCCTGTCCCTCTCCGGCAGGGGGCTCAACTACGCGTGTGGTCAGGGCAGGCTGCGTGGAGGAGGTGCCCTCAGCGGAACCGCAGCGATCTTGGCCCCGGCCCAAAGGCTGTGCCTGCAGGACCGCTGGGGGCAACAGGTCTGCCTTCCCCCCAGGGGACCGGCCACAGAGGACCTGGGGGACAGGGCGCTGGTGGGGGTAATGGGAGCCGCGAGACGGGCAGGAGGAGGTGCGTCCGGGTCGCCGGCCGGGGCGATGCTCACTGGGTCCCAGGATCCTGCCAGCTGCCCTCGGGGAACGCTGGACTCGGCCTTGGTGGGGGCATGGAGTGTCCCCAACCTCCTCAGCTCTGCCATCCCCCACGGCTGGCCACGTGCAGAGCCACGCGCAGAGGCCACTTCCCTTCTCTGTGCCTCAGACCGAGTGGAAGCACATCCTCCCTGGGCGGAGGGGCAGCGGGGCCAGGAGTGGCGGGGCCCAGGTCAGACTCGGCTGCGCACCGCGGCAGAGGTGAGGGTGCGACGAGAGGGGCTCCGGGCCAGCATAGTGGACGCTGGGGATGAGTGGGGACCCGGGGAATCTGGAGCAGAGGCCCGGCCTGTCTCACCCTGTTCCACCCTGGAGGAGTTGTTTACTCTGGGAGAGCTGGGAAGCGGGACCTGGGCGAGGGACATTCCAGGAATTCCGAGTGTGAGCCCGAGGGGGGCGGACCCTTACTCCTTCCCGACTCCTCCCTCCAGCTCCGGCTCCCCAGCGCCCTAGTCCCTGCGCTGCCCCTCCTGGTCCGCCCGGGGAGTGCTGTCCTTCTCGTGACCGGCGCGGACCTGAGGGTCCCGGCTGCCTCTGCGTTCACCCTAGCTGGCGCAACCCCTCTGTGGCTGTTTGGTGTCAGAGTGGGCTGGGGTCCGAGCCAGATTTTCAGGTGCAGCAGCGGGAGGGGAGGGAGCCCAGGGTGCAGGGCTTGCCCGGGGGGCTGGTGTCCGTACGGAGTAACCCTGGGCTGGGTGGGCACTGCTCCCAGGAGCGGGGCTGGAGCATGAGGGGGGAGGGCGTGTGCTCACGTGCGCTTGCCACCCGCCGGCTCCACTTCTGCCGGGGACCAAGGGAAACCCGTGACTGAAGTTCTGGCCGCTGAGCCCCTCCCGCCAGGGTGTTGCCCTGGAAACAGGCAGCCCTTGAGGGCAGGGCCCAGGGAGAGGGTCAACTGACCTTACCCTCTGGTTTTGGGTCCCAGCCTCAGCTTCCCCATCTGTAGTGCTCTGGCGGGAGAAGCTGCCTTCCACTAGGAGGGACCCAGTTCCCTCCACACTGATGGTGCTGCTCCCCAGGACCCCAGCTTCGCCCCCACTTTTGCACCCTTTGGCTCGGGCGGACAGCTGGGTGTTCTTCCAGAGTGTGCTGCAGCCCCTCCGGCGCCCCCTGCTGTCTTGACCTGGCATACACACAAACACTGTTAGGGGTCCCTTGGGAGTAGGACTGCACAATTGTGGCAGGGCTGAATGGGCCCGTTGACCGGGGCAGGCCTGGACTGGGGTGTTGGGCGCATCAGCGCGCTCTCCCAGCTGCCCGGAGCCTCCATGTTTGGCCCTGTGCTTCCTGTAGAGGGTGGGACATGGGGGGGCACCTCGGCACTCTTTATTCATTTTGTTCCCCCTTTCCTGTCTTGATTCTGTTCCCTCCCCACATCCACGTGACCTCCAGCAGAATGCTGCCTGAGTGAGTGTGGGGAGGTGCTGAGCTGGCAGGACCTCTGGAGGGCCTCCTCAGAGCCAGCTCAGCCTGGGGGACAGCGGTTTGGCCTGGGTGCCAGTGTGGGACAGTCCACTATGCTCTGCATCCTAGGCTGCGGAAGTGGTGTGGAGACCTGGGTCTGGCTGCACCGCCAGTCCAATGGAGCTCAGGGGCCACCCTGCTGTACACTGCCCACCCCAGGCTCCCATGAGCAATCTCCAGAGTTTGGGGAGGTACCACTTTGAGCAGGGCTGAAGTCTGGCCAGGAGAGTGCTCTGGTCTCCTTGCTGGTCACATCCCCAATCCCACAGCTAAAGAGGACTTTGGGGCCTTGGTGGCAGATGGGTGGGCCTCATGGGATGCTGCTGGGTGGCTCCTCCAGGGAGTGTGAATGCCTTCCTGAGCAGGGACATCGATCTGCTCAGTGCTGAGGAGGCTGGGGCGTGGGGTGCTGTGAAGGAAGTACACAGTGCCAGCGCTGGGGCCCTAGGTGTGCAGTCCTGTGTCATGGCCTCTGTTCTTGTGTCTATATATGAGCACATGTCCAAGCATGTGTGTTCTAGAAGTGTGCTTCTGCCTGGTACCTGAGGAAGCCACCTGCCTGGGCCACTGCTAGCCCTTATGTGTGGCTGTGCACCTTGGCCTGGGGTAGGGCTGTCTTGGCCCTGGCACCTGGTCCCCAGGAGGCTTTCTGTTGTGGTCATGGGTGGCTGGGGTGGAAACTGAGTAGCCTGCATTCTGCCGTTTCTCCTCCAGGGCCTCAAGCTGTGCTGACTGCTCTCCAGACCCCTACTGGCTGGCCTCCTGGGGCTCGGAGTACCTTCTTTCTGGGTGAGTCCAGGTAGGTCCAACCTGGCTGGCCAGGACATGATAGGCAGTTTGGGGCCTGTCCCGTGGCCTCCTGCTTCCTGTGGATGCCTCTTGGGTGCTGGGAGGGATATCATCTCTGTGCCTGTTTCCTTGGGGGGACCCTGTGGGTGAGGGCTGGGCTCCAGGGCTGCAGGCCCTGTGTCTAGATTCTTTGGTTAGGCACTGTTGCCAGGGCCACAGACACTGATGGCAGCCTGTGGCCTCCCTGTGAACCTGGATGTCCTCAGCTGCCTGGCCCTTGGGCCCTGTTGGTGCCAGGTGGTCCCCCTCTGCCCGTGGATGTGGCAGGCAAGGTCTGCAAGTGAGACGGGCACAGGTTAGGCTCAGGGCAGGAACCCAGCCAGACTCCCCTCTGTAAGCCCTTTGTCCTGACGCCTGGGACCTTTTGGGGAGCTGTGTCCATAAGTGCTGTGGCTTCCCATCTGGGCCACTCAGGCTGTGGAGAGGTGGGGCTTAGGTCTGCTGCCTGGGTAGCAGGACCCATTCTCAACCTGTGGCCCCTATTCCCTGCCACCCCCACCTAGCTGGCCTCTTTGGGGCCAGACTGGCAGTCCAGGATCCAGCTGTCCCATGGTGGAGTCAGGCTGGCTCTGGGCTGCAGGGCCACACATAGGAGCAGGGTCAGTATGTGGGTTGTGGTAGTATCTGGATGCTTGGTCTGAGTTGGGCCTGTGTCCATCCTCTCCTTGGACGTGGGGCAGTTGAGTTGAGCCAGGGGCTGCTGGGGCCCCCCAGGGGTCTGGTGTGCTCATCAGCAGCCATCTGCTTTCTGGTGGTCTGAGGGTAAGGTTCTCTGCTCCCCTGTGGGGCTTCTGCTGTGCAGTCCCAGCTCTGTCCCTGTTCTCATGGGAGCAACAGGCAGGGAGACCTTGGGAAGCCCCTCCTGCCCTCTACCCAAGGATTGGGACCCTGGAGTTGGTCTTAGGGTCTGGGCTGCAGTTCCCCAGCAAGCCCTTGAGGCAGAAGAGGACTGGTGCTAGGAGTCCAGGTCCCAATGTGGGGGACCTCGCTGGGCACTGGGATTTCGCTCTTGCTGCAGTTCCTCCCAGACACTTTGGCCACTCATCCTGGCCCTTTATGAGCTGGCCAGCCCAGCCAGTGGGCACCCTCACCTCTTTGCCTCCCCTCTGGACTGCACCTTCCAGGATTGTGCATGGGTGGTTGCTCCTTTGACCACCTTGGCTTCAGTCCAGGGTCCAGGGAGCCCCAGGCCAGATCTTTGTCCCAGTCCTCTGGGCCAGGTGTCCTGGCTTCATGCTGATTTCCTGCCCAGAGGTCTGGGGTGGAAGGGGTCCAGGTTGCATCCTTGAGGGAGCTGCTTGCAGGCTTGAGGGGCTGCTGTATGTGCATCCACAGTGCTCTCTCTCTCTCAGGCTCACTTGGGCTGGTGCAGATGAAATTTGAGGTCTCTTGTTCAGAAATTTCGGACTTCTGAAGATGGTTCCGCCAGAGTCTGATGTCTGATGCGCAGTCACTGTGTGGCCGCTCATGAAGCTGGCCTTGCGCCCCGCCCTTGGGTGACAGGACGGGCCATCTGAGCATCCTGGGCCTGCACAGCCATCTGGGGTTCCTCAGTCCTTCTTGGCTCCTGTGTCCTGGACTCCACTACTCCCTTCCCGGTACAAAGGGATCCCCAGATGTCCAAAGCCGGTGCAACCCCAAGTTGCCAGCTGCAGCAGCTGGGTCACCACTGACTGCTCGGCGTTCTGCGCCCTTGGCGTGGTGGGGTCGCTGCTGCCCGCGGGCGGGGTGTTAGGGTCGGGAGCCCCGGGGTCTCTCCCACTAGGCCTGCGAGGCG